TCGTGAAACGCCCACTGAACTGAGTTGCAGAGAAGTGCAGCTGTGTCAGTCCTCAAAGAGTGATCTACTTCAAAGCCTGTCTTTGAAGACAACCCGTACGTAGGACTTCAAAGCTGATTAAACCATTCGGAGTAAAAAAGCAGAGTGAGTCATCTGCCAGGAAAGGGAATTATTATTATTATTCCCCCCCCCACCCCCCAACGCCTTCTTACAGTTGTGTATGGGAAGAGCACTGGAAACTGGAGTTAACTGGGAAGGTACTACATTGCCTGCCGTGGTTTTGAAACGCAGCTCCGGGCCTGCCGCGGTTGGTCATTCGCTGCTGGGATCTCTCGTCTTCCCGTGGCTTGGATACTCCTTCCAGCAGTCCGCTCAAGCACACCGCTTCTGCTCCTTTGACATAAAACTCTGCCCGTGCCACAAGCTACATATATTCAGCTGTGAACTATGGGAGCCTAACGCTGGCTGAGCGTGAACCTCTCCCTGCAGCTTCGCGGGGCAGGGATTCGTTTTCCTCGGGCGGGATTGTTCCCGGAGCGAGGTCTGTTCCTCTGCAATCCAGGCTGGTTTCGTGCCAGCCACGTACTTCTGTGTTTCTGATGCTGCAAGTAGAAAACCACTGCTGAGGTGCTGTTGAATTAAAAACAGCAAGTGCTGTTCGCAGCCAGAGTTTGGTGGTTATAGGTGAGGAAGGAGGTGTGACTCATTTTCAAACTGAGGGGGGGGGGAAATACTTGGAGCGTTTAAAACAACAGGAACAGCTTAGCATTGCAAAAAACTGTATTGACCCTAGTTTGGTCCCCTGGCAGGCGCCGTTCCCCTGCTGAAGAGAACATTTGTTCTGGCCCTAGTTCCCGAGAGCCGTAACTCCTCTCCGCCCTTCCTTATTTTTAATCGTTACATGTTTTGCTGTGATGGACTTTGCTAACAAATGCCTGACTTTGCATGCCTAAAGCTGGTATGAGGAGCATGCAGGTTTGTTTGAGGAAAAAACAGGTGTTATCAAAGCCCTCTCCCTTTTCCTCCTCCTGCCCTTCCAAAGGAGACCCGAGGTGGCCACAGCCCCGTCCCACTCAAGCCCTGGCTGAAGCTGCGTGCTCCTGGGTGCGCATGCCGCATGGACGGTCCTTCCTCGGGGAGGGAGCTGCATGCATCTGGCGGGGAACAAGTCAGAGGTGCTCTGCTGTGCAGTATCAGTCGGACGGCAGCCCTGACCGCAGCCTGCTGGGATCTGCGCGGTGTCTGAGCAGGAGCTGTTTCCCGTTGCACAAAGAGTTACGGTGCTTCTCTCCCTTGGGACAAAACTGAGAGAAGGTTCCCCACTCCCCTCAAATTTATTAAAAAAAAAAAATGGACAGCGTCCCAAGGTTTAAGGCCGCTGAAACTGGGGATAACTCAGGCTGAAGTTTCCAGTTGCAGCGCAGTCAAGCGGGGAACTGAACTTGTGTGAGATGAGATGCACCTGTATCCTTGCCACTGTGTTATTGGTCTCCCTCCGGTTTTGACTGGAAGTTGCAGCTGTTCCCCAAATGCACATTGTGGTAGAGGTTTTCAATTTCAAAATAACACCCAAAAAAAGTTAATCTAGGAAATTCTTGAGCAGAGCAAGTATGTTACATGTGGAGCACAGCGTGGTCTATATTCCTTGGCATTGGGACTTAGCAGATCACCGTAGATCTGGTAAATAACGAGGTAAGTGAAAACACAGTATAAAATTTTTCAGACCCTTTGTAGCTGTTAGAGCGTGTTACGGGAAAGCAGCAGCACAGATGTTACAAGCTGTTTGTGCTTCATCAGTGAGCGTTGCTGCAGTTAGAGATGCTGAATTTACCACAGCAACTGTTTGCTGAATTGCCGTGATTTCTACTGGCGATGCTGTCCTGGGGCGGCTGCACATTCAGCTGTGAATCTGGGGGTGCTTTGGCAGAAGAGGTGGGGAGGATGTATGTGAAGTGCATTGCTGAGGCCAGAAATAAGGAGGTGTAAGGAGCTGGTTTCTAGTTAGAGCTCACGCGCTATGTGACTGAAAGGTTGGAGGGTTGATTTGTTTTTCTGTAGCTTCTGTTTGTTTGTTTGTTTGTTTTCCCTGCTGTCAGAGATTAATGTTAAGAGTCTGTAGATGAAAACCAGCAGCTGTTGCTATACAGGCAATTACCCCATAGTATTGTTATAGTCTCTTTTGGCCTTGAATTCAGGATTAGGTGCAATAAAATATATGACATTTCCAGCCCACTTCTGTCAGTGATGGTTTCTCATTTTTATGTGATAAATGGGATAAGTAAAGCCGGATGAGGAATCAGTGTCCAGCCTATGTATTCTTGCTCTGCTTCCTGAAGCTGTTTCCTAGCTCTCTTTAGCTAGTAGTGCTGCTGTGGGCTGGCCATGTGTAGAAATCATTGCATGCGGAAGATAGACCTGTTTTCAGCCTTCATAATTCCTAGCCCTCAATCTGAGTCTGCTTGAAGCGCTTTAGCGGCGAGAGGCCAGTATTAATATCTCCGTTCAGCAGCTGGGGAAACTGAGGCATAGAAGCGAAGCGATGCACCGCCTGAGGCTGGGAGGCGAGAAGAGATGCCAGCCTTTGCCCGGCACAGTCCTGTGTAGCACCCATGGGATCCTGCCAAAACGAGCTGTGCATAAGGGGCATTAAAGTGGCAGCTGGCTTTAGCTAGGCTGCGCATCCGAGGGTGTCGCTCTGTTTTCAGTGATGCGGGCGACCGGTGTCTTCTCCCCACCTGAAAACGTAGGAGAGCTGAGGTCTCACCACCTGTTTGGCGTTTTCCCTGAACAAGAGGCTTAGGTTACAAACCACCTGCTAACTGACCGTGGCCCCTTTCTGCACTGGTAATAAGTTACTTAATTGGTCAGGATGCTTCGCGGGGTGAAGCATCGTTTGAGCTGGTAAATGTCCTGGCACACTCCCCATCAGGGATGAAGCTTTAAATCAGGAAAGCTGGAGACAGAGGTTGTTTCTTAGGCAGCCCTGTCAGCTAGTTTTTGAGAGGAAGGGAAGGAGCGCTCTCCTCTCCTTCCTGGGTGTGTTCCCTTTTCAGGTCTGACCCGCTGTCCCGAGCAGCGAAACAGAAGCCAGGAGCTGCCGCGCTGTTTATTTCAGTGAGTGGCAGATGCTGGCGCTTCCTCTCCTAAACTGATGGTGGTTTGCGGTAACGCCGACTCCCGTAGTTCACTGATTCCTAGCAGAATGCAGATGTTTCTTTGTCAGCTGTGGCCGTCTTTCACGGTTATAATTACTGCCCTAATGAAGAGCAGTGGTGAAACGGGGCTGTGATTTACGAGCGAGGCTGCGCAAGCCAGAGCGGCCTTCGCAGCCGCGTTGCTGTGTTGGAAGGCCCTGTAGCTGTGTTAGCTTACCTGCTCTCCTTCGTCCCCGTAAAACGTCCCCCATCGAGTAAGATTAAGTTGATGCTTTTGTTCAGTTGATATTACGACAGTACTAGGAGGATGCAAACAGCGGCAAAATGAAGGCAAGCCTGCTTCCCCACAGGAACACAGCACCTCCTTTTTCTGAAACCATGCCTGGGCGGAGAGGCGTATTCCCTCCTGGTAATGCGTTGCGGTGATTTGCGTTGAAGGAGGCATGCAGAATAGCAAAATTTGTAGTTGAAGCTTACCTTATATGAAGATCCCATCTTTAAAGAGTTAATAAATGACTGGCAGACGATGCAGTAAATCACTAGAAAATTGTTACAGGAGTCCGGTGATTGGTTGTTCTCCACCATGGCTTGTCAAGCTCAAAGATTACAGTGGCTTATGAAACTGTGGTATGTTGCAGGGTTGTGTTTAAAATCATCTTTAACTCATTCCACTCGTATCTGCCCTGCTCATAACCTCTGCTGGGCATTCATTAGCCCTGTGTAAACGGGACTTTAATGGAAAGAATTTCTGGGTTTTTTTGTTTTTAAATAAAAATGCTGTTGCACACACACACAGAAATGTTTTTATGCAAGAATTTTCATGCAGTTGTTGGAGAAAAGCATTGCTAAAGAAAAAAAAAAAAAAGTCTCTGTGTGCAGGGGGGGGTGCATGCGGGGGAGCGCTTTCTTAAGTGGAAGGACTTGCTGCTTTGACGGGAGAAGCGAAACAAGTACACAGCAAGAACTTTCCTGCTGTAGTAGAAGTGGGAGGAATCTATAAATGCATGACTTATATAAAGCGCCCTGGGATTGCAATGCTGTGCATCCTGACTTTGAGCAGCCGCAAGGCAAATCATGGCAGCCATGAGGGAGTGGGAGAAAAGCAAATGGTTTCCGCACCGGCCCCATGGTTCGCATCTCCGTCCCGCTCTCCAAGACAGGTTCCTGGCCTGGAGCCCTCCTGTTCCTGGTGATGCCTCCCAGCGGGATGCCCACGGCACGTGGGCAGCACGGGTGCTGGTGAGACTTCTGCAGAGGTTATTTTAGATTTGGAGAGTAGCAGTGTTTCCAGGACAACTGGAGAAGAATGAGGAAGGGACTTCTGTTGGGTCAGCTTGGAGCGGCTGCATATCCTGGCTTGCTCGCTGCATTTTCCTGTGGAAAGTGGCTCGTGGCCTCCCTCTTGCAGGGCACCCTTTCAAGCTGTTCTCAAAGACTTTGGGTACCTACTGCTGGCGACCAGCTGGGCTAGAAAAATTAGTGCAGGCAGTGCGCAAGGAGTCCTTATTGGTAGGTGTAAATTGTAGGCTGATAGTAGCAAACGGTCTTCTGTGAAGTGAGTACCAAGTTTTGGGCTTTCTCGTTCTCAGCACTCTCAAAAGGTGAGTGCAGAGCAAAATGCTGGAACCCAGATTCGTCCCTCTGTGTTTAAACCCTTTGAGCTCTGACTGCTAAATAAATATCCCTGTTCTACCCAGTTCCTTCGGTTAGGTGGAATTTGCTGTATCATGTAGTATTGACTTTGTGTCATTAATTGCTTCCTAGTCTGAGACAAATTAAGTCCTTCTCAGAACTGTCATATCTTTTTATTTTTCTTTTCCTTTCCCCATTAATTCTGTACCGTAGCAATGTTGGCCTGAAGAATATGGTGTTAGAGTCCAGTGCTACCATGGGGAGCAATGAGCTTCAGGAGAAGGATGCTGCAGGAGCCCTGGGCCGTGATATCAGCAATGGCAGCAGCAGCAATTTGGAAGCAGCCCAACGCCTGGCCAAACGCCTCTACCATCTGGATAGATTCAAACGCTCTGATGTGGCGAAACATTTGGGTAAAAAGTACGTGTTGGAATAAGGCCTTTGCCATCTTGTTCATAGCATTGGTTCTGGAGAGTTCACTCTTGGTTGACTGACCCTTATTTTTATTTATTTATTTTATTTTCAAAGCAACGAATTCAGCAAACTTGTGGCTGAAGAATACCTTAAGTTTTTTGATTTCACGGGCATGACGCTGGACTGCTCGCTGAGGTATGTGCCTGTTTGCAAACCTTGCATTCTTGTTTTAGTAACAGTGCTGTTTCTTGTGTTGTCCCAGTTGAAGCAGTTGCCCTATGAGTGCTTACAGGGGAGAAAAGGGAGGTGTGAGGCACTCTGGGATGGACCTTTTCTCTCCTATTTGCCTTGGCCTGATGGTGTACGCTGTAACACCGTTGGAGGGGTGACGTTTCCTGGAGGAGAAAACTTTGGGGTTGACCTCCTTAGAGATAGGTTACGTGCTTGACACAGTAGAGGAGAGAGGGACAAAAAAGACTAGTCACTTGGTGAACAGGGGACTGGTAATCTACTGAGTGCTGCTGAAGGATAAAGACATTGTTTACAGCGAAATTGCACAGGGCTCGCAGCCTTTTCGGCTGGTACCTTGTGGCATTTGCTCTGCCCAGCTGCTCCATGTACAGAAGGGGCCAGGATTGCAAGCAGCTTGGCAGCTCCCCTCGCCATGTCCCTCTGAGGTGTCTAAAAATGTGCAGAACAGCAAAAGCTTCCAGATGGGAAATACTTTGAGTGTTTGGTAGCTGCTTATGTGGGTGTTTGAAAACCCATCCCTTCAACATTCATGTCCTTTTTATCCTGGAACTAGGCCTTAACAATGTTTACTTTCAATATTTTTTAATCCTATGAGTCAAAATACCAAATGTGTGTAGCAGTGGCCTGTTAGTGTAGTTGCTGATGTTCCGACAGTTAAATAGTGACATTAAAGAAGAGGAATTTAAAGTAATTTTTAATTATCTGGCTCACGTTACTCTAGTCTTTTTTTTTTTTTTTTTTTTTTTTTTTGTGTCTGGTTTATCTTGTTTTTTTTTTTTTTTTTTTTTTTTTTTTTTTTTTTTACTCCTAATGATACAAAGTTCGGAAGACCAACGGCCCTTGCTGCCAGTCCCTTTTACAAAATTAGTTGGAGAGGGATTGCTCCAGGAAACAACATGAATGCCAGCCCCTGTCGGCAAAGCAAAGCGGAGTCCAACTTGCTGAAGACAGTGGAAACACCTGCTAAAAAGTTAATCCAGCGCTTAAGTGTTTGGGTAGAGCAAAGCCAGAGCGCTGTGTCCTGGAGGGGTGGCAGCATTGGTAGTAGGAAATCTGCTCCTTATTTTGGTTACTAGGGGCCATGAAGCATGGTTTTAAATATACCTCATCTTTTAAATTGTGCAATCCAATACCTAATTACTTCATGGCACATATTTAGGAGGTCTCTTCTCCCTGTAGATCTCCTGTTAATATTAATAGTCATGACCTTCTGCAAAATACGCTCTAGCTGGTATGTGACTGTGGCACACAAGGGACTTGCTGAGATTTCTTGCATTACCGCTTGTTGGCCAAGCTGCAGTAATGGCCAGATGCATGCCTTCAGCACGGGCTGAGCACAAAGCATTGGCTTCAACCTCAGCCGAGCCAAAATGTTTTGCCTCTCGTTTGCGGTGAGTAGCCTCCCTGTTACTGCTGGCATGCTGAGGGGCCGCAGTTTGTTAAACCAGGGGCAACTTGGCTTGTCAGAGCCCTTGGCTGTGGTCCAGACCCACATTGCCCCCCAGACTGTGGGAGGCTGTTGTGTAGGGTGTATTGCAGTCAGCGGTGAGTCCTGAGCATGGACAGAATCACTCCTGAATCTCTCCAGTCTGGCTCACCCTCCGCTTTCGCACGTAGGGGCCTGCTCCCGTCACCCGTCTCTCAGGTCCCTCCTGTCTGCCCTTCGTTCGAGCTGTCTCCCTGCCTCCCTCACAGCTGTGAGATGAGAAACCCTGGGAAGCCTCAGTTGTAACTACTTGTGAATCTGGTTATTTGCAATGCATTACATGTCAAATTAAGTTATTACCCATCAGATCACACTCTGTATGGGTGTGATATCATTGCAAGTACAGCCTGTCTCTGACCTTACATCAAAGAAATGAAATTAACACTTATTCACGCAGGCTAGATAACCTTGAATGTTCCTGTAATGTTTCCCAGGCCTCTCATATCTGCTGTTAGTTTAAATCTCATCGGATACTCAAAAATTGTCTATCATCAGACACTCATTTTTATGTGCCTTCTTTCTTCAGACCCGTAAGCTTTGTGTTTTCAGGCTCTTTTAGTAACAGCCTGACAAATAAATGTAGGCTGAGACCTCTGAGGTCAGCTTTGGACTCCAGGATTTGGGAATTTCGGCAAGTACGGAGGTTCTTCATGAGGACTGGCAACAAGGCTAGTTTTTCCTTTCTAGTAGGAAGAACAGGGGGATGGTTCAGAGACTGTCTCTAGGTTGTGGACCCAGGTATGTGCCAACCCCATGCGCCGTGCTCTGGAGCGTTGTGAGGGGAAATCTAAGAAGGCCAGGTTGCTCTTGCTGTTCCTGAAGTGCAGTGGGAGAAGTTGTGATTCTTCTGCCCCCTTTGCCAGATGCTTCCTGTGCGTCAAGTAGTGACACTGCCCCTTTGCAAGTCCATTAACGTCTGCAAAGCGACTGGTGTGGTGATGGCTGCTCTGTACATGTCCCTCCCTGCGGAGGGTTGCACATCCAGGCCAGGCTCCAAGTCTGTAGTGTACCTGCCTGCCTTCACTGCCTGGAGTAGTTCCTTGGCTTTCAGTGGGAATAGTAGTAGGTATAAAGTTAAAGCATACAGGCCTAGTGGACAGTTCGAAGAGGACAGAGAGCACCTGAATGAGCATCCTCCATAAATGCCACCTGCTGCCTTCCCCGCCATGATGAAAACCACTAAAAATAAGAGCAGCTGTTTTAAAGAGTATAATTGTTTACTAGCTTATATATTCTATGACTGAGACCAGCGGTACTCTAACTACTTCTGGTTGAGTTACTGTAATATTAGGATTAAATGCACATGGGATAATAATCTGTTTTCCTAGGAAGGCTTCTTGGAACTGAGTTTCTAGTGTGTGCTTGCATATTTCTTACTGTGAAATATGCTGTGCTGTATGTGCTGTGTGAGGCCAGAAGAGATTTATGATTTTAATTTCTCTGTTTTCTGCGCTTCTTGTAGGAGTTTCTTTAAAGCCTTTTCACTTATTGGAGAAACTCAGGAACGAGAGAGAGTTTTAATCCACTTCTCCAGCAGATACTATCAGTGTAACCCAAACACCATTTCGACTCAAGGTAATTTTACTTCTGATAACAAGGACTGTGGTCTCCCTCTTCCTTCGTTCTCGCCTTCAATAGCACCTGTGGTGTGTATTTGGGAACTGAAGATGTGCAGCTGCTGTGCTAAAGCGTAGAAATTGCCTGTGGTGAGCATGGAAATCCTCTTCATTTTGTACACGTAATCGTAGTAAGGCAGAGAAAATCTGTATTGCTACCCAGTCAGGGAAGGCATTAAGGCCTCTTCACTGGAAATCATTAATTTAAACATGTCCAGACATAAATATCCCTAGTTTTGGCTTTGGTGTCATTGACTTAGAGTGTATGTAGGTGCCTGTGCTCCAGCTACCTATATGCGAATGTGAATAGTTCCCACCTTGTGTGGAAGAGCAAGGGTTCACTCTTCATCTCAGTTCAGTGCATGTCTCACTGCATGCACTGGCAACAGACGTGCCAGCTCTTGCCAGTTGTGGGAGTGAATTTTGGGTGCAGTATCCAGACCTTGGCATGGTTTCATCTAGACTAGCTCACGTCAATTGGAGGCTGCCTCCTTGCCAACATTTTCAGTCATTTTGGAAGTTGACTGAGGAAACAAACAAGCGTGTGGATCAAACCCAGGAAAGCTGGCACCGCAGAAGAGGACGAGCTGTCCACTGATGTGCCTCTGCTGTGCTCGCCCCTCCATGCCAGCAGGGAAATCTGACCCTGTAATTCCAATGTCGGCTGATCACACACCATTGAAAGCCGAGAAAAGGAGGAGGACAAGAAAGGAAAAATGCATGGGCTCATTTGTGACTTTGGTCTCAAGTGTAAGTCAGAAGGAGCAGCATGTAACTGCTGCACTTTGAGGTACCATCACACTTCCGGGGTCCTTGTGTTGTGATTTGCCCATTAACGGGAGAGTGAAGTTTGCCCGCTTTGTGCCTCATCAGCATCACTGGTTGATGTGTCAAGGAAAAGAATAGGTAGCAACAAGAGAAGCTCTGCTCCCACACCATTCCTGTGCTCTTCCTAATGCCTTTCCGATTTCAGGATACCCAAGGCAATCAATTAGAATAAGTGTGTCATTTCTGGATAGAAATAATGACTTGTATGTTGATGTAGCTGTTTTACTGCAGTCCAGATTGCTGTAGGAACTTTTCCACTTCAGAGCACAAGCAAGTATAGGGATTAAAGTGAGCACCATAGACTTTGTCTAGGCATTTTCAGTAATTCTGATGCTGGATTTCCACTGTCAGTAGTCAAGTGCTCCACTGCAGAAGAAAGATACTTGTTCATTTCAGTGAAAATCAAGGATTACATTTGGATTGGAGTCATGTGAGTGCACTGCTGCTTGCTTTTCTCTTTTTTCCCCGCTCTTGTTTTCATCCTTTGGAGGCACTTGTGATTTGGGAATGAGAGGGCAGGCTACCCTACAGAAATACGTGCACCTGAATTGGAGCACCACAGCCCCAGATTCAAGCTGCTCTGAATTTAGTGCTGTTAGGGATAGTACTGCTTCTCTTATTTAATACTTTGCTGGAGGTGTGGGGCGTTGCTTGGGTGCTAGGGCCTGTGCAAACAGTGTAAGAACACATGGTCCTGACCTTGGGGAACATCCTTTTGCAAGGGCTTGATCCTACGGGTATTCAAGCCTGTGATAGTCCCACTGACTTTGAAGGATGTCATCTCCATCCCTGCCTTGCCCCTCCCTCTACCCCCAACCTCTTTGTTTTACAGCACAGAGTGACATTGTGTATGGTCATTATCCAGACTTAGTGATGAAGCTTTTTACTTAAGTGTCTCACTGCTGTGTGTGTGTGTGTGTGTGTCTTATAAATTATTGTTTTTCTTCATGACACCCCTGCGAGTGAAGGGAAGGTGGCACCATGTGTTTGAAGACAGGCAGATGGAAAAAAATATTTTCTTCTAGTATGTTCCTCATGTTTTGAAACTGGCTAGAGGCATTTGGTTCCTGAATTTTCTGTGGTGTTAAATGGCACAGTGGATAGTGTCACCTATGTGTGGGTTTGTGCATAAACAAAGACCTTTGGGACTCTAAAGGGATGTCTGGAAAAGGGAGAAAACAAAATTGGTGTCCTCTTTTGCCAGTAGTGGTCTGCACTGACTTTGCACTGCTACCATGGTGACTCCAGGGATGGAGCCAGCCTTTATTGGTTGCTTGTTGAGAGTTTTGCTGCAAGATCTGCTTCTTAGACATCACTGAAGCACTGACTACCCGCTATGGAGCACAGGCAACGTTAGCCGACTAAAGTTCTGCAAAATTCAGTCTAATTGAGCTCTGAATGAGGAGGGGGCTAGAGATGGAGAAAACCGGGATGCTGTCATGTTGTGCCCACTCTGCACACTTCAGGGGCAGATGTTTTGGCAGAGGCAGACCGTCAGATGTCTGTGTCCGTACAGACTGAGACAAGAATGGACGTAGCTTATTTTGTATGTTCTGTCATGAGAACAAATGAAAAAGGAGGAGCTGATTCAGGCTGTGGTATTGGTATTATCAAGAAAAGGGAGACAGCATAGTTTCCTGTTTGCCTTCTGTGGCTGCTGCACACTAGTTTTGTCAGTCATTAAAAGATGAAAGAAAGGCTGTTCTGGCTTGGCAGCTGTGGGATGACCTCACTGTTGATTTACTTGATTATGTGTGTTTCTTGATGAACAGATACTCATTAAGAAGACAGACTCAATTAGGCTATGAGGCTTGGTTTGCACTCTTCTTAAAGGTCCAGTTGTGGGCTTGCATATGACTTGGGTTATGTTTCTTTCTGCAGATGGGGTTCACTGTCTTACGTGTGCCATGATGCTGCTGAACACTGACCTGCATGGCCATGTGAGTATACACATCTTCATGTAGACTGCTCCAGTCAACTTTGTGCTGGTAGGGGTGGTCTTTTGGCAGCAGGATCCCTTCGCCGCCTGCATACTGTTAAAGCACCCTGAACGTCTGCAGTGTGGAAAGCAAGTGGAGATAGGCTTGCGCTCCCTCATAGAGCTGTAATCTTCGGCAAGGCTTTCCAGCATGCCTGGGAGCGATTGTGTCCAGGGCTGGCATTGTGCCTGGTTTTGCTGTTATGTATAAGGATGCTCCTTGTCCTCGGGACCCTTTCTTTCTGGTGTGTGTCTCATCCTTCCCAGTGAAGGCAGCTGGCCCTGGCCAGGGAGCTGTGGTTGGGATTGGCTTCCCCTTTCCGGAGTGTAAAAACATCTGGGAAGGCAGAAGCAGGAAGGGAGGCAGAAAGGGGCTGAGAGTGTCATGCGAGGAAGTGGTGTTTGCACACAGCCAGTTACACGGGGGAAGACCTGGGAGGACCAGCGTGCTGCTCAGCCGTTGTAATGTTTGGTGTGCTCAGAGCCGTGGGAGCGGAGGAAGGGGTGGCGTGGGCGTCCTGCACAGGAGCCCCAAATGCCCCCTCTGCATGCCTCTCCCCATTGACTGCCCAGGGGAAATCGGCTTCCAGATTGAGTCCTCTCGGTCACACTCAGGTGGTTCACAGTGCCAGCAGTTGTGGGACGTGTATTTCAGCGCTCATGGTGCATTATGACTGCTGTGCATGGTAACCCTGAGCTGATGGGTGGCCTTTTCCGTCACGGCCAAGGGGAGAGCCAAGGGAAGCGCAGTGCATCAGTGTGCAAGAGCTGTAGCTTCAGCCTGCTGCTTTTGGGGTTTCTTTCCAGCTGAGGACCTCCACCATGCCACCCAGGGCTCCTCCAGGCAGGCAAGTGCCTGCTGCAGGGTGGCCCCATGAAGTGCCAGTGCTAGTCATCTCAGCAGTGCCAGGCCTGGCATCACCACCATATCCCAAACAGGAAGGTCCAGCAGGCGTGCACCAGGAGAGGAGTGCCTGCAGAGCTTTTGCACCAAGGGCAGGGGGGTCAGGCTGCAGCGGAGGGAGGCCTGGCACAGCCCTCCTGGGGCACCTGGGCTCTCCAAGGGTGGCCTGGCCCTATGTGGGTGCAGCTCTGCAGCAAGCGTGGGCAATTTAGCTAAGGTTCATCTGTGCTTCCCTGGGGGATTTGACACCCACCTCCCATTTCCCATCTGAAAGCTGTACAAGCAGGAGTTGCAAAGGATTTTTTTTTATTTCTCTGAATACTGGCCCTTCCCCAACTAAGGAGTGCCTCAGTCCCATGGGAGAGGGAGCGGAGGTATGGGAATGTACCCTGGTGTGACTGTTGATATATCCTGCTTCTCTCCGGTACACTGGGAATTGGCCTGTCTCTGTCTGCCTGACAGATGAGGTGCTTCCCTGGTATCCCCTTCTGCAGAGCAATGAGCCTCCCTGCGTGGCAGTCCAGAGAGGGCGACCACATGTGCCTAAGCCTGGCAGCGCTGCCCGTTGCTCTCTTGAATGCAGGTGCTCTGGTGGGCCCTGCTGTCTTTTTGAGGTACTGGAGTAAGAGATCTGGCTCTGGCCCAATATTGCTGCCACAGAGTTGCAGCTGAAGCTAGGATGGCTATGGTTGTTGTAGGACTCTTTAACCTTGCCCTTCTGTCCTACTGTCAGTCATTAGTGTGTTGTTACATGGATGAAGCAGCAATGTTTGTTTGCCGGGCGTCTGTTCTCTCTCTCTTCCTGGGATTCCCTGTAATTTTGATTTTCTTCTTGTTGCTTTTCATTTTTCTACATAGGTGGTAAGTTGGGCATTTCTGACTTGGAATGCAGCCCTTTGCACATATACCCTAATTGCCTAATAAGCATTGCTCCAACCCATCCTTAGCATGACTCTGTTAGAGCAGGAAACAAATGAGTCATAGGGCTTGTCTACAGTGAGCTATTCTTGTTCCTGACATACTAATACTAAGTGTGGACAGTTCTACTTCACAGTCAGCTCAACTGCTTGTAGGGCTATAAGGAGAGCTGCTGTGCCTTCGGTTCACACTTTCCCTTAGCTCTTGTAGACAAACTCTTACTTATCTCTTTATTTGTTCATGTCATGCTGAGTTATATTCTCTCTATAACTAAATTTCTGTAACTATTTTTCTGTAGTTTCTTCTTCTGTCTTTCTGTTTTTACAGTTAATTTTCACAAATTGTGTCTTGGAGATGCATGCTCGCTTCTCTGCTGGCAAGTTGTCACCCAGACTGCGATGCCATGTTTAAAAATCTCTAGATTTTTAAGCTAGCTTAAAACTGCCTGCTACATCTGCCTGAACCTGTGTAGTACTGTGTAGAGACATTAGCTTTGGTCCTGGAGCAACACAGCCATTTCAGTGCCACGCTAATTTCCTCAGCAGGGCTCAGCAGGTGCAATGAGCCTCATTGCTACTGGTTCTGATCAACATGGGGAAACAGCAAACTGATATAAGGAGGAAATGGACAGAAACAGGCTGAAGTTTATTGCGGGGAGGAGGGAAGCGTTTGGGACTCTGTGAGAATAGCTTCAGGGAAGGTGGGGAAGAGCTATGCTCTGCATAGCCAACCGGAGGAGACAAGGTAACGGCCAGACTGTGTTGTTAGGAGCCTTCTTGATGCAGAAGGTGGTGAATCATGCGTCCCTCCCCAGAAGTTCCCTTTGCTTGGAAAGCAGTGTTTCTCTCTGCTTTCTCTGCGCTGATCTATGCTGGCCACAGATTGAGGGGTCTTCCTTAGATGCTGATGGTCAATGCTGGGTGGTTTCCCAACTCTCCCTGGTCATACAGTCGGGAGGGGAAGTAAAGACGTGCAGTCCGAGGCGTCATGTAACTGAAACGTTGAATGATCTGTAGTAAAGTCTGATCCCCTTCTTGGGGCCTCACTGCTACATTAACTTGGGCTCTCGCTCCTAACTTGAGTCATGTCTGCACAGAGAGCTCTTCCACTCCAGGCTGTGAATACTTTGCATTGGCTGGCAAGGCAAGGAGGACGGCTTCAAGCTCAAAGGCTGCTGCCTCAGGGGAAAGCAAACAGACCACTTGGCAGACCGGAACCAGGCAGATACCTTCTGCTGTATTCTTCTAGGCAGAGGCAACAAGTGCAGTACAGCCCATGAGGACCCTGTGCTGTAGGCAGAGGCTCACAGATGAGAGCTACTGGCCAGCTCTAATCAGGCCTAGAAGCTCACTTTCCCTCAGATCTCCCTTAGTCCCTCTTTTCACCAGTTCACTGCTGCCCTCTCTGTATGCAGGTGTGGGGTTTTAGCGCCCAGGGCTCCAAGGGGACCTAGGACAGACACCTCCGAGCGGTGATGGTGACTTGGATCCAAAGAGCAGCTGAGAGCACCCTCCAAATGGAGAAGTTTGGGTCCTACATGAACACAGCAGTTCCCTTTCTGGTCATGACTCAATCTATCTGGCAAGTTTCAGTCTGAGAATTAGACAGGGAGCGAGGAGAAGAAAAGAGTTCTTTGGAAATGTCAAGGCAGCCTCAACCCTGGGAACCAGAAAACACAGTGGCTGGTCAAGTGAGGATTGGAAATCATAAGAGAAAGGTTTGGAAAGGGCCTCAGTGGGTTATTTCTTTATGCTGCACAGCAGGATCAAGTAGAGCTCTTCTGTCAGAGGTTGGTAGGGCCCCGAAGATGTGGGTGTGGGAGGTACCATGTACAAACGAGGGACCTTCATTACCGTCCTCTTCATTAACCTGCAGTATTTAGCTGTTTTTCTTTTCAGCCGGGTGTGGGGCCTGGGGTCCAAGGGCACATTTCCTTTTCCAAATATATTCATATGGGGATGCTTGCATTTGAATAATCCTGGGAATACCTTCTCAGGACTGCCTGCCTCAGACTTGAGCAGAAGCAAGGAGATGCATTTCATCTGGTGTTGCTTACTAACGTCATTTTGGAAAGCAGCATGAATATGATGCTGTGTTTCTCTGTCGTCCCTTCCAGAACATTGGAAAAAAGATGACCTGTCAGGAGTTCATTGCTAATCTTCAGGGGATGAATGATGGTAAAGACTTCCCAAAAGGGCTGTTGAAGGTAAGAAATGAACTGTGGAATATGGATTTCTGTTGCGATTTCATGGCTCAGTTAGTGAGAGATGGTTCAAAACAGAACACCCTGCCTATGTTTTCCGAATTGTCAAGCGTGACAGGGAATGGACATGTTCCTCCATGCAGAACATAAAGAAAACTTGTTCTGTAGTTTTCCCACTGCCGTTAACTTGAATGTGTTTGAGACTGTGTGCAGCCTGGAGAGGCCAGACTGAACACCAGTGGGGCCAGCTCCAGAGCTGCATGTTGTGGGAGCTCAGATGATCATGCCGGCCTAGAGCGCTGCCTCCTGATTAAATCAGACAGAAGATGAGTCGGTTCTCACTGCTGAATACGTAGAGGCTAATGCTAAACTGCATATCTGGGAGGTGTATGTGTTTTTTCATCAAAGGTGCTTTGGGGTTTTCACATTAAAACAGGAGATGTAATTTCAGATTAGAATGTACTATCTGGTATGGGCTGCTTTGCTTCAGGTTTTGTTCATTAAGTTTATGCCAGGAGTTAAATACGAACAACGGTAAAAGAGGCTAAGCAGGATGGATCTTATTTTATTGTCAATAATAATGAGAATGTTTCATCTATCTTTTGTGTGATTATTGGCCTGAAACATCGGTCTATTTGAATGAGGAGAGCAGCGCTTACGCTAGAGTTCATAAATGTTTTGGTAATGGAAGTAAAGATGAGGGGTTGCTGCATTAGAGGTGTGACCCAAAGCCTATTGAAGTGAATGAAAGAAACACCATCTCTTCAGTAGGTTTTGTGTCAGGCCCATTCGGAAATGCAGAACACCTGCATAGTTACAAGTAACAAACTTTGTTTTCTAACATTTGGTATTTCCCTCTATTTTCCCTAGCTTCTTCAGGGAGCTTCACCTTGATCCCTTCTGCCTCAGTTCATTGTAGAGATCAGGGAATATAAACACAGACCTTGTTTTTAGATTTAATTACTTTTTTTTTTTTTTTAAATCTGGATACAGAAAATTTATGTGTCAGAAGCATCACTTAAAAAAGAATTCCAAAAAAGCTAATTTCTCACTCTGCTGTCGAGAAATGTGTTGAGATTAATTTGCAGGCTAGTTACAGTCCTTATTGAGTAAATAGGTCACCAGGCTGTGTTTAAATAACATTCTGAGTGCACTAAGAAGAGACTTCCGTTGGCGCTCACCTGCTGTTTGTTTTCCAGAATTACACAGTTGGGACTGAATCTTGGCTTTTAATGCTGACCTCCAATCTAATGCTAAGGTTAGCTGGCTCTTTGCCAGCACGTCCTAAGCCAGGCACTGAATCTGAGGGTCTTTTGGAGGCGGCGGGCTGGAGGACGGTCCGTGTCAGTGTCCTGCTTTGTTTTGGGCGTTTTGCCCTATTTTGTGTGCTGCCCTGGTCTGTCAGGGGAAGAGGGATTGGGCTTGCATCTTGCTTTTCTGGAGGTCTGTTCGAGTCTGGCTGATGATCTTCTCCTCATGGCTTTCATTTTTCGCTGAGAGGAAACAGTGTGAGTGGCAGGAACTGTGCATTGCAGCAGCTACGTTACTGCATCCGCAGCAGCCGCCCTGACACTAGACATGTGATTACAAATATTTAACAGAAATTAAACTTGCATTAGTCTCAATAAAATTAAATTCAGAGAGCCGTGGTTCAGCACAGAGCTCAACTGCTGATGGTTTGCTAGTGCATTAGCAAAGTAACTAATGTTGAGCAGCACTGAGGCTGCAGGTGGCCTCTCCGTAGCATTTCCAAGTTGTCTGTGAGCCCTGAGAGAGGAAGAAGAGTTTCCGCATGGTGGCACTGTGCCCTCGTGGGAGTGTGATAGTGAGCAAGGGGTTTGGCTCAGTAGGCACCCATTTGTGATTAGTATAGGCAAGATGAGAAAAGAATTAGGCTTTTCAGTCTTTCTGTGTTCTCCTCATGGCTCTAATGTGAGCATTTTAACATTTTGAGAAGCTCTGCACCTTCACACAGCCAAGCTCCAAATCAGAGCTTAACAATATTGGAAGCGTAGGGAGACTTTACAAGTATTTAAAGCTTTGCAGTTGTTATGGTCTTTCAAAGTGTCCATCCCGAACTTAGGACATTCTCTGTAGCATTTGCCGTAGACCAAACACACATAATCAGGGATGAAAATCATGTTTGAGATATCCAGGACAGTCAACACACCATGTAGAAATGAAACGTTGCCTTCAGTCACTCCGATTAAACTTAGTGTCACTAAGAGTAGAGTGCAGTCCTGAGTGTTTTTCTTTTTTTGTCTGAGTAGGAAAATAGCAGAGTTTCAACTAGCAGACATCAATGTATGAGAAGGTCAGTTCTGTAGTACGGAGCAGCCTCAGAAGATTTCTGATGTGAAATCTGTATTTTTTTTTTCTCCCTACTCCTATGAGAGAGCTGTCTCTTTATTAAAGTTTTTGTTTGTTTTGTTTGTATTTTTTCCCCCTCCAAAGTAAGGGCCCTTTGATAAACACCACAAAGCTTTGTAGTTCAGGATGTGATTCTCTGTGTGTTGTTGATAGGGCTTTGGGAACTAAGACTTCATTCTAGCTAGAAATGGAAGTGAGAAATGCTGATATGATCTCACTTACCGTGTGTCTTTCTATCTGTTCGGTCATTTCACTGACCACTGAAACTGAGTGTCACTTTTGTACCCCTATTTGTGCAAAGATTCATCTCCTTTTCTTTCTCCTCCCTCCTTTTGTCAGATCTGAGGTTGCTTTTAATGCTGAGACCCATACAGGCAAATAAGCCAAACTGTGATTAAAAGCATGGTTCTCCCCATGGGATCTGCTTGCAGTATTTACATAGCCAGTACTTTGCCAAGCAGGCAGATGTACGTACCTTTCCTTTTATTCCATCATAGCTCTACTTTGACTGTCTGTCACACGTCCCGTTAATCTGCCATCAGCTGCTAGTAAGGACTAGACATAGAGACAGTAGCCTGATATCCAGTTAGGTACAGTCAGTGCATGCAGCCCTGAGAATGGACACAGGTAATTTATACTTGCTGTTGGGTTCCCAGATACCTTCAAACTGGGACAAACTCCTTGTTGTGAATGAGAACTAGGATCCCAAGCTGTGACTCTCTTCTCTTCTCTTCCCAAGCTGTCGGCTGTCTATGAAGCTGACTGGTATAAATAAGGTGAACCAGGCCTGTTGAATCCAGGCGGGTTAAGGTTGCTAAAAGAGAAATTTTTCAAAGGTAAGGAGGTTTTCTGAAACTCCTGTCCTTTAACTCTGAGCTGTCACACTCTAAGCATACAAATTATTTTATATTGAATCAAGCTGTGATCAGGCAATGTGATCCTGAAATGCCAGCAACGTTTTCCTTCTAATTTTGATATTATACTCCCCTGTAGCAAAGGTCCCTTGGTCGGGGTGAGTTTAAACCCTGGAAGAAGTACTAAATACCAAGCGTGGTGGTGCTGCGACTGTCTCACCGTGCGAAAATGCTATGCTGTCGACGAACTCTTGCACATTCCTGGGGATGATCATGAATCACACAGCTACAAACATTTGCAGCGGGGGACAGGTGACAGATTTAACAGAAGCGCAAGGCACAAAGGAAAACAGCTGCAGCACCAGCCTCTTCAGAGCAGATGTACCTGGCATCCTGGGATCAGTTGCTGCAGATGCTGTTGAGGATAATGAGAGAAGCTGGAAGAGAGATTCAGCACCACAGTGGCGAATCAGTTACAGATAACATGCCAGGAGCAGTTAAAACAACTAAGGCTAACCTGTGGGTTATTAACCTAAGGGAGTCATAGACAGATGGCTGTTCATTTATTCCTGTGGAAAGGGAGGTCACTGCTAGTGTCTGGCTACTTGGAAGGAAGGCAAAATCACTCGGGCAATTTCGGGAACCTCATGACTACAGTGTAGGAGCAGTTTATCTGCAGGCTGGCTTCCTTCTTTTACTAACACCAACTTTCATCTAGTATGGTGATACCATCTTCACTGCTAATACTCTGAATTTGCATTATGTGGCCATAGCTATCTTCCAAGTTGGGCTTCATGAGGTTGCTTGAAGTAAGAAAAGGAGGAGGTTGGCTTGGAATGTGCGTAATTTTTGACTGTGCGCTGTGGCCTTGTTCCCTGAAGGTGGAACTAGCCATAGTGTCTTCCTCTAGTCACCTTGTGGCAAGGTTTGTGAGACTTTGCTCCAGTGAGCAGGCAGGGACAAGGACTTTCTTATGCAAAGAAAGAAAGTGGCTGTGGCTGCCTGTAGAGAGGCTGCAGAGATTCACAGAGTCATGGAATGAGGTTAAGGTTGGAAGGGACCTCTGGAGATCAGCTAGTCCAACCCCCCTGTTCAAGCAGGGTCACCTAGAGCACGTTACCCAGAATTGTGTCCAGATGGCTTTTGAATATCTCCAAGGGAAGGAGACTCCGCAGCCTCTCTGGGCAGCCTGTTCCAGTGCTCAGTCACCCTCGCAGTAAGGAAGCTTTTTCTCATGCTCAGATGGATCTTCTTGTGTTTCAGTTTGTGCCCGTTGCCTCTTGTCCTGTCACTGGGCACCACAGAGAAGAGTCTGGCCCCATTCTCTTGACACCCTCCCTTCAGATAACGTATACACATTGATCACATCCCCCCTCAGCCTTCCCTTCTCCAGACTGAAGAGTCCCAGGACTCTCAGCCTTTCCTCATAGGAAAGATGCTCCAGTCCCCTAATCATCTTAGTGGCCTTTGCTGGACTCGGTCCAGGAGCTCCATGTCTCTCTTGTCCTGGGGAGCCCACAACTGGACCCAGCACTCCAGGTGAGGCCTCCCCAGGGCTGAGTAGAGGCGGAGGATCACCTCCCTCGACCTGCTGGCAACGCTCTGCCTCATGCACCCCAGGATACCATTGGCCTTCTTGGCCCCAAGGGCACATTGCTGGCTCATGGTCAACTAGTTGTCCACCGGGACCCCCAGGTCTTTCTCTGCAGAGCTACTCCCCAGCAGCTCAGCCCCCAACCTGTCCTCATGCATGGGGTTATTCCTCCCCACGTGCAGGAG